CCACTGGCACATCCTGGACATTTGGGAGCGCCTGGAAACGGGGATTCGTTGCCTTCGCCCCCTGCCTAAGTCATGCTCATGCTCACTGAAGGTGGGGACAGAAGGGTGCCTGGAACAAGCCTTTCCTGAGCAAGGAAAGAAATACTTCTGTTTGGGGAGACACAGCTGCCTCTGGGCCATGTGTTGGAGCCGCATGTAACTGGTGGCCCTGCTGGCCGAGGTCACCCGGACAGCTCGCGCCACCCCTTCTTGCACTGAAGCATTTGGGGTGCTCCTCCAGGGGTTAGGCCGAGAACTACCTGTTTCTCTCCATGCATGTGTCTGGGTGGGGTTAGGTAGAGAGGCAGCAGGGCTGCTCTGTGGTTTTTCAAACTATCTTGAATAGGAAGGGTTGGAGGGAATCCTCAAAGGGGGGACAGGCTCTGGTCTTGGGCTGGTAGATAGCTTAGGCTGGGAATCGGGAGGCTGGGTTCATGTCTCAACTCTGCCCCTATCAAGGTGAGCATAGTTGGCCATCAGGCCCCGCAGGCCTGCTCATCACATAGCAGGCCTGCTCATCACATAGGGAGCACAAGGTCCACGAGGCTTGCCTGAGGCCTCCCAGCTCATAAGAAGCTCATGGGAGTGTAAGCAAGGTGAGGCTTTCTCCAAAAATTCATTCTCTTCTCACCTGGCTGTCACCCGCCAGGCAAGTCACCACCCCAGGTCCTAGGTCCCTCTGCAAAACAAGAGGCCTTCCTGGACCCTCCCAGCTGGAGAAGCTGACAGCCCATGATTAATTCTCCCTGGGAGGTGAAGGGAAGCCTGTAATTACTAGAGAGGATGGAGGATGGATCCTGTTAAGCCTCAGCTAAGCCCTTCCTCTGGGCTCCGCTTGGCTGGCCCTGGAGAAAGGCTGCTGTCTAATGGCCTGCAGAAGAGGGCAGGCCCTCTCTTGGGGGGACAGGCCCCTGGGGGCTCCTTACAGTGCAGCTCTGGGGCCCGAGGGCAGGGGGGCAGCACCTGGTGTGTCCCCAGCATCTGTTGTGTCCTCTGGACCAGCAGATGGGCAGGAGCAGGGGCCGTGCAGGTAGGGAGGGGAGATGTCTCCGCATGGTCTAGGTACCCCGGAACTTAGAGTCAGCAGTGGAGTAGATACAATCCCTAGATGAAATCCCAGACTGTCCCTGACATGGTTGTGAGTGTGGCTGGGTATGAGGGGCCCCTCTGTGCTGGTCTGCTTTTATAACATTGCTAACCATTGAATTCTGTCTGGGCCCCCGGTCCAATCTCTTCTTGGTCTCAGCCTGCCCCTTCTTCCACTGGGTGCACTCCCAAAGCAAGTACACACTTTGCAGACAACCCCGAGCTTTATTTTAAGAGGTGCCGCTCTGGCAGGATGGAGTCGTCCTAATCAAATAGCCACCCCCTAAGTTTGCATATGGGAAGATGGTCTCTACTGTGGTTAGGAGAACAGAGATAAGACTTGGGTTCATGTCCTTTGCTTCATGTTTCTAGCTGCGTGAGTGACTTTAGCCACGTTTCTTTAATTCCTCTAAGCCTTAGGAGATCCTTGGCCCGTTCATAAGCTAATGTCTAGAACTGCCTTTCCTTGTACAAGCATGTAGTAACCAGGAACTAAATGGTTCCCATAATTTGCTGTATGAGATATCTGTATCCATGTCCATGTCTATACTCACACGAGGGAGTTTCAAAAAGTTCATGGAAAATAGAACACAGAGACCATGGTATGTTGAAGGCCTCTTGGATAGGGGTAAGGAGCCCTGGTGGCGGAGCGGCTATGCCCTGGGCTACAGTCTGCCAGGTCAGCAGTACGAGACCACCAGCAGCTCCTCGCGAGGAAGACAGGACTTCCCACCCACTGTAAACAGTTATCGCCCCAGAAACTCACAGGGAGAGCTCACCTCTGTCCTGTAGGATCACTGCGAGTCACTTTTGCCCCCATGGCAGGGAGTCTGGATTTGGGGTTTGTATATGAACTAAAGCAAAGGGTATCTTATCTATTATAACAGGCGAGTGAGGATGTCGGTGGTCTTTTACTGAACATTCTTCCCTATCAGGCTCACGTAAAACTGGACGCAGATGCCCCGTCTGAAGTGGACGTGGGAGACAAGCAGAAAGAACAAGGCTCAGACCTATTCGCTTGGCTCCATGGGGTGGCATTTGGGAACAAAAGCTTCCCCTCAGGAATTAGAGTGGGAGGGGAGAAGGGACAGGAGTCAGGTCAGCCAACCACAGAAGCCTGGGCACCCTGCTTGCAGACCCATCCAGCGAGCTCAGCCTGTCCAGGGTCAAGCGGCCGGCCACTCCTCCCCTTGGTAACATCTCCCCCTCTCATTGTGGCCAAGATGCTTGGCTTCCCTGGCCATTGGGTTCTGTTCACTCTTGGTGCCCCAACCCCTGTTCCCCTGGACCTACTGAGTCAGAATCACTAGATTGCAGCTGAGAAGCTGGGGTGGGGGTAGGAGGGCTCTGATTCCGATGAGAGTCCTGTCACCCCGTGCCACAACCTGCCCTCTTCTGAGGGAAGAGAAGCAGGTGCCACTGTTTCCCCACATCCAAGAAGATACCCCAGCTAGCGCTGGAAGAGCTCCCGGGCTGGCCCTGAGGCCGTGTGAGGGGGACACAGCCTCCCCCACTCAGGCCTCTCCAAGCAGGGTGGCCTGTGGTGTGGGTTCCAATCAAAGGGGAAGGATTCATGGGACCAGGGGCCAGATTGGGTGAGCAGAGGGCTTGCATCCTTCCTCAAGAGCAGTGCTGCCCACCTCCCAGGCCAGCAGAGCGCCCGGGCCCAGCCTGAGGACGCAGCCTGAGGAGCACTGGGCACCAGGCAACCCCTGGCCCTGAACCGTCTTCCTTTGTAAGAGGGTCAAAGAGAAAAGTGTGCCCTAGCCCCTCCCCAGCAGACCCGCCTCGGGGGTGGGTGGGTTCAGCCATTTAAAACTGTTTTTGAGCTTCTGCTGCGTGCCAGGCCCCGAGCTAAGGCCTGGAGATGTTGAGCTGAGTCCGGTCTCTGAAAGGCTTGCTTACCTGGTCTCCAGAAGTGATTTTTCTTTTCCCCCCATAGAGGAGCACTCTGCAGAGTCACCAGGGCGGCTTGCTAACGGAATTCCCAGATAGCGCACACAGGTCAGCGCTTTGCTGCTCACTGAAAGGTTGGAGGTTCAGGTCCACCCAGAAGCACCTTGGAAGAAAGCCGTGGGGAATCCTCTTCCAGAAAGATCACCGTCATCATAGTGCACAGTCCCGCTGGGACACCCGCACGGCCCCATGACTCAGAACCCACTCGGTGACAACGGGTGTGATGGGTTTTGCTTTGGGTTTATTAAAAATAATAGATGGCCAAGCCCCTCAAAGTCAAATCTGCTAATGCAGAGATGACCCAGGTGTGCTCCAGGCACCTGCAGGTTTTCAAAAGCCCCTGGTGGAATCTTATTTCGTCTGGAGTTTGAGAACCACTGGTCTTGTGGTATTTGTTGTCAGGGGCCGTTGAACCATGGCGACTCCGAGTGACCATATAACAGAAGGAAAAGGTGACCCGTCAGTCCCGCAGTATTCTCACAATCATTGTGACGTCTGAGCCTACGATTGCAATCTCTGTCGATCCGTAATGTTGGGGGTCTCTCCCCCTTTTTGCTGACACTGTGCATTACCAATCATGAGGTCCTTCTCCAGGGACTGGTCTCTCCTGATGACATGTCCGAATGAGAGGAGGCGGATTCTCATCATCCTCACTTCTAAGGAGCCATCTGGCTATACTTCTTGCAAGACCGAGTGGTTTGCCCTTCTGGAAGTCTGGTTCTTTCAATATTCTTCCCCCACATCCTAGTTCAAAGGGACCAGTTCTCCTGCTGTCTTCTTTACTCCGTGTCCAAAGTTCACTTGCATATGAGGGGCTGGAAAAAACCATGGCTTGTGTCAGGTGCACCTCAGTCCTCAAAGTGACCTTCTTGCTCTGAAGCACCTTCAGGAGGTCTTGTGCAGCGGATGTGCCTCGTGCAATGTGTCCTTTGATATCTCGGCTTCCGCTTCCACAAGCCTTGCTGTAGATCCAAGGAAAGTGGAATCCTTGATGACCTCAACTTTTCCCCATTTATCTTGATGTTGTCTATCGGTCCAGATGAAGATTTTTGTTCACGTCACATTGAATTGTCATTCAGACTGAGGGCTCCAGTCTTTGATTTTTCATCCACAAGTTAGCTACCTTAACAATATGTATTTTTAGCCTTTTCGAAGTGGCTGTGGAGTGAGGAGGGTGCCCTATGCAGCCTCGGTCATGTGGCTGGCCAACGGCAGAGCCCTTGGGCCCCACTGCCGCAATGGCTCTGAGAAAACCACTAGGACCACAACCATAGCTACTCGTGGAACCCCAAGTCCTTGACCTGGTGGCGTTTAAGATCTTCATTGCTTCTGGTGCGGCAGGCAGCATTTGGGGAAGGAAAACGGAAGAACTGGTCGTGAAGAAGCAAGGGAAGAAAACACTGTGTTTGACGTTAACCGCCTCATTTCACAGTCCTGTAAATCAGGAGTGGGTACTTATTATTTGCCGGACAATAAAGTTTGCTTTTAAGAAACAAAGCAGAATAACTATATTTTTAAAAATAAATGTATTTTTAACGACCCAGTAATACATGGTCCCATGTAAACAAAAAGAAGTTACGACCACCCATGATCCTGCCCTCCTAAAATAATCAAGGCCTCCCTACAGTATTTTGCCTTTGCATCTTACTCAGTGCCCTTCCAGATGTGTGTGTTTAGACATCTTGAAGGGGCTTTAAACATTTATGGGTAAATTCCATTTTTCCACAAGCTTTTTGAAGTCCCCTCAGGTATGTACAGCACCCACATGGTACCTAACACTGTCCTAAGCCCTGGGGACAGAGATGAGAAAAAAGAATGGGTGCTGCCCTAGAGCCCCACCATTGTGCTCAGTGATTGATGCCTGACACAGTTTGATATCCAGTCGTGCTCACCTGCGATTCTTTTCTCCACAGGTCTATATCATCAATGTGACCTGGTCCGATTCCACCTCCCAGACCATCTACCGGAGGTACAGCAAGTTCTTTGACCTGCAGGTGAGTTAAAGCTCAGATGGTCCCCAGTCCACCCAGTGTGGTCAGAGTCCCTGGTGGGCTGTCCTCTCCTCTGTCCACACAGATCTGAAGAGCACCCTGCCCAAGCTTTCAGGGCCAGAGCTAGCCAGAAGCAGAGACAGGTCTGAGGGCTGAACTGGGCTTGTCTCTGTCTGGATCGTGTAGGCAGACATTCTGGGCCTGTGAGAGTCCTCCACGCGTCGTAACAGTGGTGCTTTGTCACCTCCTTCGCCCGAGGGCTGGGAAACCACAGGCGGAGGCAGGAGGCTGGCTGTGGGTGCTGCGTGCAAGAGCCGACATGTGTCTGTAAACACCAGGGTGAGACACGAGCCGCCCCGTCATGGCAGGCAAAGAAAATCAAACGCGCTGAGAAAACCAAAACAGAAAATAAGCAATTTCTTCAACTGGGCATTCCACTGGGCCTATCTAATTGAAAAGGCTTTTGCCTCACTGTTCGTAAGTGTATGTGGGGTGTGTGTGTGAATACACATGTTCACACAGAGAATTGACAGCATGGGTCCCACAGCTGCCATCCCACACACCTCCCTTGATGCCAGCTACTTTGGTAAGGCTTCCCTTGGTTGCACATGACAGCTTTCTACTCGTATTGGCCGAGCCAAAAGGGGGACTTGGTTGAAAGGGGATACTAGAGAAACGTACGCAGTTGGCCAGGTGGAGGAAAGGGTAATGAGGGAGTGGGTTTCAGGCAGACCTAGAAGCAGGGGTTTCCCGCTCTCTGTCTTGTCCTCAGCTACTTTGACCTCCTATCCTTGCCCCCATGATCTGAGGAACTCGACAGTCATTAGATCCCAAATTTTCCTTTTCCCAGTCCCGAATGGAAAACTCCCAGATAAGACTCTCATTGGCCTGACTTGAGTCAGACCTCCTTTTTGGTTCAGTCAGTGTAGCCAGGAGCAGAGGGTCATAGAGCCCAGGTATGGCCACTTGGAGACCCAGCCCTGTGTATCAGGGGCAGGGACTGGAGAAAGGAGAATGACTGTGAGTTGAGTGTTAGGAAGGGAAAGCCGTGTTATTCTAGATGCTTCCTTAAGACCACAAGGCTGGCTTAGGCCAACAAAAACGCAGAGACGCCCACTCCTGGCACCGCACAACCAGGGACCGGGCTTTCCCGTGCCAAGACCTTGGTAGTGAGTCATTTTGGAGAGACGAGGCGTGTATGCTTCCCTCCGAATACCTGACTTTAAGACCATTGTCCTTTTACTTAGGAGAAGGGCTGAAGGTAAACCAACTTCCTGTATTAAAAAAAAAAAAATCATCATCTTCTCTTAATCCAACAAAATGGGGTTGAAAGCCTCCCCTTATTCTCCTGCCTTCTTCCTCTTTCCCCCTTCATTTCTGTCCGGTCGGCCAGGGTCCTTCAGGCGTACACTGGTAGGGCTTGCTGATACCCATCAATGGGTGTAGTGTGCTGGACAGGAAATGATATCTCAGTTGGGGAGTGGGAACCCTGAAAGGGTTCATTGATGAGCCAGAGGGGGTCCAAATCAGCGGAAACTCCCAAATCCAAAGGTTTCATCCCCCTTTTCCGGTCTGCCCGCCGCCACCCCACACCAACTCCAGAATCTTACAAGAAAGGAATGCAGCCTCCCCACCTCTGCCTTGCCAGAGGGCTCACTTGCTGTGTGTCCGAGGGAACATAGACGAGGGTGAGAAGCTTGTGGGATGGCCTGGGCCTCCTGCGGGCCATCACACCCTGAGGATGCCGCTTGGGAAGGGGTTGAGGCTGGTTCTTTGGTATTTACCCTTTGAGCCAAGTGGAACAACTTTTGCCAACCCATTTCCCAGAACTCATTCCCGAGTGATTTTAGTGGTGTCTGTGTTGAAAAGCCTACGAATTTCAAGACCGAGGTCCCTAGAGGGTCGCTGTCCATCTGCATGGACCAGTGAGCTTGGTTTGGGTTTTTCATAGCGGTGTTAAGAGCCCTGAGGGTGCTGCGGTTAACACGGCTGACTGCCACCCGAAGGCCTGTGGTTAGAACCCACCAGTCGCTCCGAGGGCGAAAGCTGTGGCACGTTTCCTCCGTTCCGATTTACAGCCGTAGAAACCCTACGGGGCAGGTCCACCCTGTTCTGTAAGGTGGGTTAGAATTGACTCAGACGTCTGCGGCTTAGGTTTTGATTTCGTCGTTACAAATTGAATTGTGAACTCCATCTCTAAGCATCGGTCGCCCTCAGAACCCAGCTTTCAGAGAGACTTGTGCAGGAGGCGGCTTAGAATTCAGGTGCTGGGGACATGGCACACCTGAGATGGTTCCTGGTTCTTTCGTCCTATGCCCTGAGTAGGTATGTTCGTCTGGGTTGACTAGAGAGGCTCATGTGTATAAGAAAGAGGTTTGTATACGAGAGCAAGTGAATATTGAGAAAACATCCCAGCCCAATCCAGATCAAGCCCTTACGTCTGATATTAGCCCATACGTCCGATACCAATCTATAGAGTCCTCTTCAGACTCACGAAACCCAGGCAATGATGCTCAATGCAGGAGGATCACAGGCCAGTGGGTGGGAAGTCTTGTGGATCCAGTGGGTTGTAAGCATCTCAGCGCTGGCAGGGGTCTCCACGTGGTTCCTTCTGCTCCAAAACTCTGACTGTCTCAGGGCAGCTTCCTGTGGCTTCTCCTCCGAAATGTCTTGCAGGGAGTGAGCCTTGTCAGTAGAGAGTCTCCAAGGGAGTGAGCAGAGAGTGTCTTCCGCCTCCAAGAAGGAGTACAGGAATTTCCAGAATCCTCAGGGGAAGGCCATGCCCACCCAGAGGCCTCGTGGGCTATCCAATGATTGAGAGGCTAGACCCCACCCCTTCACTCGTAATCCCCTCAAATTGACAGCAGATTATATAACTACCACGGTAGTTACTTGTCTAGGCTTATTTTTCTCATCTGTGGAGTGGAGAGTTGGACGGTACCTACTCAGAAGGGTGGTGAAGATTAAAGAAGCTCGTGTACATTTTCCCCTCATACTTCCTTGTGCACTGAGATGCCCGAGTGGTACCCGACAAGGACGGCGGCCTGCACCGCCGAAGATATCTGGGTGCCTCGCACCTCCTGTCACGGAGTAGCCTCGTTTCCTTCGCGTTGCTTCACTCTGTGCTGGTAAGCTGCTCGGTGAGCAGCTCGGGGGCCCACTGGTGCTGGCCCTCGGGAGCCTGCCTTCGGGTAGGACGGGGGTCTGTTGGGAGCAGCGTGTGGCCCACAGGAGTGGCGCACCCAGTGAGGTTTGGCTCCTCCCATGTTGACGTCACCTTGGGACCCTGGAAGTCCGGGAGCCACTACACCAGCCTAACTGGCTCCACCAGCCAACTCCTGGTTGTGCAACTGGCGGGGAGCGCAGTTCCCTGGGTCTGTCTGGTGGAAGCCTGGCCCCAGCGCAGAGCATGTGCGTGCAGTTTGGGGAGGGTCCTGGGCACTGTGAATGGTTGATGCGCTCAGCTGCTAATCCCATGGACGGAGGGCTGAGTCGTCCTGGAAGAAAAGCCCGGGGATCTCTTCCAAGAAGCCAGCTAGGAAACCCTGTGGGGGTGCATTCCACGCTCACACGCACGGGGTCCCCACAGGCGGAAGTGACTTGATGGCAGCTGGTCACGGACCGTTTGATTTCCAACGTCAGGTGTTCACAGACGCCCACGAGCCCCCAGCAAAGAACTTTTGAGTTAAACCAGCATAGAGCAGCCAGCATATGCTCACGTGTCTTGTCTTACTTGAGCCCCACTCCGGGGAGATGGGTTAGACTTGCTATTCAGAGAATTACACCCCCTGATGGACAACCCCTTCCTCCGTCCCTCCCGCCCACCAGTAGGTTTCTTTATCTGGAGCATCCCCGCCCACCACCACCATACTGTACCTCTTTTCAAATGGTGTCCTTGGCTCCGGGTGGAGTTAGGCTACCCGGAGGGGGGTCTTGAACTATGGGCCTTCTAATGTAGCCAGAGGAAATGTGGGACAGGTGTGTGGGTGAAACCGAGGGGTCCCTGGTCTTCCTCAAGCGGTGGGTGGATGACCGTTGAGCCAAGTGGAGCACTTGGACTAGCACACGTCCCCTCCCATGTCCACTTCCCCCACTGGGGGGCAAACAGGGAGAAGGACAGGCCATGCCCTGCTCTCACCCGCGGCACCATGGAGCCCTGAGCGCCTCCAGCACGCAGGAAACATTGGGGGCTGCTCTCTGACAGGGCTGGTAGCTGGTTTTCCCCTTCGCTGCACACGGACTGGGAGAAGGATGGAGCTTTCTACTCCCGTAAAGAGATACGGTCTCCGAAACTCGCAGGGACAGTTCTACCAAGTCCTACAGAGTGGCCACGAGTCGGCTTTGACTCGAGGGCAGGGAGTTTGGTTTGGGTTTGGCCACAGAGATGCCACACCCCAGACCCCTCCACCGGCCTTTGTGCAAACTCAGACTCAAGGCTGAGGATCCCTCTGGGTGACCATCTCTATGCCAGGGCCTACCTGCTATGGGCGTGGAGCTCAGGGATCCTCAGGAATGAACAAACCGAGGACCGATCCCAAACAGCCGGCTCAGAGGGGCCACAGAGAGGGGGGAGGCACGCGCTGACGGCTTTGCACTTGGAGGAGAGCCAGGGGCCCTTAGTGGTGACCCATGACAGGGTACTTAGAACTGCTGTAACGTGGTAGGGAGCTGTCCTGTGGGCGTGGGGGTGGGGTAGGGGATGTCAGTCATGGAGGTGGGAGAGAAAGAGACACAGATAACCTGCTAATGGCCCAGTTCATGCTTATCTGGAGCCCTAGGTGTGTCCAAGGCAGGTTTGTTTATCTCTGTATCCCCCCTACCCTCTATCCCTGACCCACCCACTTCACTTACAGGCTGTCTGCTCTTTGGAGACCCAGGATTAGGGTTGCCAGACATGATACAAGATGCCCAGCTAAATTTGAGTCCCAGATAAACCAGGAGCCATTATTTTCCACATAAGTCTGTCCCGCCGACAAAAAGGCTTCAAAGAGGTCGTGGTGAAA